GTTTGTTTACACACATGTCAGAGGTTATTTACTGTTTGTTTACACACATGTCAGAGGTTATTTACTGTTTGTTTACACACGTGTCGGAGGTTATTTACTGTTTGTTTACACATATGTCAGAGGTTATTTACTGTTTGTTTACACACGTGTCAGAGTTGTTGCTGTCTTTGTTTCACCTGTCAGGTGTGTGTCTCACCTGGAAGACATCGTTGGCACACTTGCGGCACAGGTTGTGTTGACAGGGCAGGATGACGACAGGTTTGGTGAACATCTCCAGACAGATGGGACAGATGAGCTGTTTCTCCAGACTCTCCATGAAGACAGTGTGGACGCCGTCACCTGGATGGAACAGGAGAGGACAGGTGAGGACAGGTGAGGTAGTAGAAGGTGTCCTGGAGACAAAGCAAAGTGACTCTGCAGCAGAGGACAGTCGAGGCCTAGCAGCAGCTTCCTGAGCTCTCGGGCTGTTTTTAGACTGAAGGATGTCAGCTGCTGCTGTGCCACATGTCCTTATATGTCAAAGGTCAGGAGGGGTGAGACAGGCAGAGCTGCTTAAAGGAGCAGTGCTCTGAAGAGCTTTTCAGTCAGCTGCAGCGCCCTCTGCTGGTCAGACTGAAACATGAGCTGCAGTTTGTTTCCTCTGGGAGGAATCCTGACTTCATTAAAGTTCTGAGCTCAGATTTAATGAGACTTAGGGTGTGACCTCTGACCTCTGGGGGAATTGAAGGAAAAAACTTCAGTCCTGCACACGTGGAAAAAATAAAAAAAAATACTCTAGTTTGCATGAAGAAACTGGAGAAGAGGAAAGAAAACTTTTTTGTAAAATTGTTGGAAAATGTTTGTATTCTACAGAGTAGAAACTCAGTTTCTGTACACATATCATCTGTAAATTATACTTGTGTAAAAATATTCAACTTCAGTTTATATAAGAAATGAACTTTGTGTGTTTCTCACATGTTGTACACATGTGCTCTCTCCAACTACAGGTGTTAGACAGGTGAAACACCTGGTTATCACCTGAACATCCTTTCAGACAGCTTCCTGTTGTGTCCACAGTTAATCCTGGTGGATGTGGTTGGTCCTTCTTGGTGATCTGCTGACATTAGCCTGGATACTGTGGCTCTTCATACATCACAAAGACTTCCTGTCTTGGTCACAGATGCTCCAACAGTTTGTCCTCTTTTGAACTCTGGTATGTCACCATAATGTTGTGTACATTGTGATATTTAGATCCAAACTGTGCTCTTACCCTGCTAACTGACCCTTCACACTCTGCTCTTACTGGTGCAATGTGCAGTTAATGAAGACTGACCACCAGGCTGGTCCAGTTTAACCATGAAACCTCCCACACTAACATGACAGCTGTTTCAGTTTCATGGTCTGACCTCTGTAGATGTACCATACAACAAGAGATTCTGATTCAGAACCAGACACACAAGAACCAGACTTAAACCTTTTATTTAGATGAAAGTCTCCAGGTGTTGTCACATCAACACAGGTGTAAACAAACAAGAAAACAACAGCAAACATCGTTATTTACAACATTGGTTGGTTAAAATGTGTGGGAACTGCCTAAATATTTAAGCTCCGCCTCCAACATCCAATCAAAGCATGAATTTAATTTAATGAAAATCACGAAAAAAAAGTTTTTTTTATGTTTCCAGAAACCTTCAGGTGGTTTGTTTACATGTTTATTGTTAAACTCAGATTCAAGTCAAATGTTTCAGTCTGAAGGTTTGACATCAAATGATAGGTGTGTCGGTGGTCCGTAGGTGCATCACAGAGGTCAGAATTAACCCTGTGATGCGTTTCCTGTTGGGCTTCAGGTGTATCTGCGGTGGTCATCCCCGATCAGCTGCGTTTTCTCACTGGCACTGGTCGGCTGGTGGACTATTGGAGTCTCAGCATCTGCAAAATAAAGAGCCATGAAACATGCTGAGTCAGCATCTGAAACATAAAGATGAGTCATCATCTGAATCATAAAGCTGAGTCATCATCTGAAACATAAAGATGAGTCATCATCTGAAATATAAAGCTGAGTCATCATCTGAAACATAAAGCTGAGTCATCATCTGAAACATAAAGCTGAGTCATCATCTGAAACATAAAGCTGAGTCATCATCTGAAACATAAAGCTGAGTCATCATCTGAAAC